CCTGAGCTTCTTTTGCTCAAGGCTAGTGCTCTACCACTTGAGCCACAGTGCCACTTCTGGCTTTTTCTGTGTATGTGATACTGAGAAATCAAACCCAGGGTTTCATGCATGCTAGGCAAGCACTCTACTACTAAGCCCCTTTCCCAGTCATTATAGAGCCTTATAAAGAGGAAATAGCAATGGAAATACAATTCCCATTAGGCCCAATGTCCAGTGGTGAGATTCTAGGCTCTCAGTGCATCGGCCAATGAGCAAGTGTGTCACATACCAAGTTGGAGTCCTGGTCTCTGAGCAAAAAAAGGAAAAAGAACTAACGAATTTGCAATGGCCTCTAAAGTAGAGAAGTAGGCCCCATCTCTTAGGACACTCTCCAGAAAGTCCCATGGTTACAGCTCTATACCCAGAGCCATAGTCTCTCCAAAGTGCTGTCCTATTTGTTGTCTGAATCCTGAACAGTGATGTCCTCCATTGTGTCCCAGGGCCATGCTGCTTGTCACAGTGTAGAATCATGGAGGCTGTAGGATCTAAATACAGGTGTCATGGCCCATATCTTGCTTTGTCCTTGGCTGTACCCTTTCTCATTGGCTGCATCCTGCTTTGTAATTGGCTGTATCCTGCTCCCTCATTGGCTGTCTACTGACTTGTCATTGACTAGATCCTGCTTCTTCATTGGCTGACAAGTATTCATAGGATGGTTTAATAAAATTTCTTTTAACAAACAGCACTGTTGGTAGAAGTAGTATGTATGGGTGAAATGAAATGTCTAGCCACTGTCTTCATAAAAATAGGAACAAGTTGTTAATTTTAATAATGTACAGAATATAATTTTTTTTGGTCAGTCATGGGGCTTGAACTCTGGACCTGGGCATTGTTGCTCAGCTCTTCAGTTCCAGGAGAGCACTGTACCACTTGAGCCGTAGTACCTCTTCAGGCTTTTTCTGCTTATTTGGTGCTGAGGAATTGAGCTCAGGGCCTTATGCATGCAAGGCAAACACTCTACTACTGAGCCACCTTCCCAGACCACAAAATACATTCTTTATTATATTTTAAGCAACAAAATCCCAAAACCACTTTGATGGAAACACTTTTACACACACACACCACACCCCCACACACACACAGAAAGGCACATTCAGTAAGTCATCACAACGACAATATTTTAAAATTGCAGCATATCTGAATTTGAGTAATTTGTCTAGTGCTCAATCCCTACAGCTCCACTCTAGGTCGTTTGGTGGTCAATTAGATATTCTAGTGTCATTGACAAGCCTGCCTGGGCTAGCTTTGAACCTGTATCCTCAGATGTTAGCATCCTGAATAGTAGAATGACAGGCCTGAGACACTGGTTCCTGGCCTCTGTGGTGTGTCTATCATCCTACAAACAGTAAGCATGAGGTGAGCAGAGTTTTATTGCCACCATGGTCTGGTCTTCACTTCCTCTCAAAATGGATCATTCTTGGTATAACATGAGTGAATGAACCATCCTGAAACCATTCTGTTATTCTTCATGAGCAAGAACGGGAAGAGAGTGGGGTAGCTGAAGGACAACATCACAAGCACAGCCTTGTATTTATTCAATTTCTCCAGCGTGTACAAGGAATACACAATCATGATGTTGTTGGAGCAATGGAAGAAGACGAAGCAGCTGACCAGCGGCAGGATGGTGTGAGTGGCTATTTTCTCGGGCAGTGGCTGGGAGGCAAGGCTGGGACTGTGGAGGTGCCGGGCTCTGCAGCGGTGTCCGTAGAGGAGTGTCACCATGTAGAGGCTGGGGGCCAGCATGAGGACCAGGAATGGAGCATCTCGCAGGACAATGAAGCTGATAATGAGCGTTTGGTTGTCCATTCCAAACTTCACTTAACAGTAGGGATGAGAAAATCCCAGGCTCATGACGGTTGAATTGTAATTGGATTCCACAGATTCAATCATGTGGAAATAGATGAAGGAATTCAAGATCCAGAAGGAGAGCAGCGAGTGGAGGATGCAGGAGGAGGATCGGCTTTTTAGCCAAGCCCAAAGGGCAGGGGTGCAGGTGATGGTGAAGGCCTGGAAAGCACTCAGGAAGGTGATAGTGCAGGCAGACAGTCCCCGTGTGACCCTGAACAGGAAAAGCACCACCTTACACATGGCATCATCCCAGAAACACAGGACGCCATACGAGAAGACGATGAAGGGCATGGACTCAAAAATGATGCTCAATGCGCTGACCAGGTTCAGGTGCATGGCAATGGGCTTCCGGAGCCGGGGTATGCACACAAGCTGTATGCATACAGCAGGAAGAGGACACAGTTCCCCAAGATGCCCAGACACACCTTATACATAAAGAGGAGCTGGAACACAGTGTTGCCTGCGGTGGCTGTCATGATGTGTGTGTGTGTGTGTGAGAGAGAGAGAGAGAGAGAGAGAGAGAGAGAGAGAGAGTATGTGTGTGTTGCTGAGAATCAAAGCAAGAGTCCTACTCAGCCAGGAAGGTCATAGTCCCGCAGGCAGGAATCTTCATGGTGCTCCATTTCTTATTATTTTTATTTTTTGAATTGAAATCTTTTTTTTATTGTGAACGTACTGTACAGAGGGGTTGCAATTACATGAGCAATATAATGAATACATTTCCTATCAAGCATTGTAGCCTCCTCCTTTGTTTACCCTTCACCTCCCTTCCCATCCGTCCCCCGACCCCCATCCTATCCTCTACCCCCCAACAAAAGTTGTAAAATTCTTTTTCGACATGAAAACTTCTACTTCTCATTGCTGCAACAGGTCCACCTGTATCCTCATTTAGACGACTTGTTTTTCCCCTTCCCCTCCACAAATTATACCAACATCAAGTACATTGAAAGCAGGGGTTATACTGTGGAGGAGGGACATCCAAAGCAACAAAGAAATAATCTTATAAATGCATTAGAAACAAATGCGTGAAAGAAAAAAATGTAAATACATATCTTAGGGTTCATTTTCCTAACATCACCTTACCTGACCTTTTCTGCTTGACTCATACATATACTAGATATTGCAAATAAGGGAAACCATGGGACCTATGTTTCTTTGGGCTTGGCTTACTTCACTTATTTCCTAACAAATGGGGCAATGTCATTGTTTCTGATGGAGGCATAGAATTCCATTGTGTATATATGTCACATTTTCTTGATCCATTCATTTGCTGAGGGGCATCTGGGTTGGTTCCATATCTTAGCTATGGTAAATAATGCTGCAATAAACATAGTTGTGCTGGTTGCTTTAGTGTGGTCTTGTTTGTGAACATTTGGGTAAATGCCCAAAAGTGGGATTGCTGAGTCATAGGGGAGCTCTATGTGGAGTCTTTTCAGGAACCTCCATACTACTTTCCAAAGTGGTTGAACAAGTTTATACTCCCACCCACAATGAAGTAAAGTTCCCTTCTGTCCACATCCCCTCCAGCATCTTTTGTTATAAGAGTTCTTGATATTTGTCATTCTAACTGGGATGAGGTGGTATCTTAATGTTGTTTTGATTTGCATTTCTTTTATGGCTATGGAGGTTGAGCATTCTTCATGTGTGTATTGGCCATCCTTCTTTCTTCTTCAGTGAAGTTTCTCTTTAAGTCTTTAGCCCACTTATTTATTGGGCAGTTGTTTCTTTGTTTCTTTGCATGATGGCAGAGGAGAAGCTGGAGGCTAAACAAGCTCTCGCTTAGAAAGCAGTTTAGAGTTACAGTGAACAGTCCTAAGCCAGAGAATCACACTAAGTGTGCCATCACAATACAGAGAGTTAGGCCAGAGAGGGAAAATCCAGGCAAGGAGACAGATCTGAGCTCTTTCCAGCAGCTGCCGCCATCGAGGCGGCAGCGGTGGTGGTGGAGGCCGAACTCTCCATACCTGAGTCACAGAGAGTCCGGGACAAAGGAGCCAGATGAAGTGGGTGAGCAGATTCTACTCAACACCAGCAAGAACCGACAAGGAGCGGACATCTTCATCCTGCAGTTCGCAGATCAGAGACGACCCAGGAATCAAGACTGGGCATGAGTAGAAGCCTGATGTCCTCACTCCTTCTCAGGCAACAGAGGAGGGAAGGCCACCCCTTCCCCCCTCACCCAGTACCAGAGATCTCCATCTTGGATAAGACAAAGCTCAGCAGAGCTGCTAGCTCCAATTAAGGCCTTGGGAGAAAACTAGAGTCATTTAGCAGTTCACAAGAACCTAACCTGATCTGCCAGACTCAGCTCAACCCAGGGAAAAGTCACCCAGCTCGGGTGCCAGCCCCAGGAGTGGCTTTCTTCACTGGGTAATCAGAGCCAGAGGCTGCCCCTCCCTTTAGCAGCCTTGACAATCAATTGAAATTCAGTAAACATAAACCCTGAGAATGGCTCCAAGCTGGGCTCTGTGAGTTTCTCACAAACTAGCCCCCAGGAAAAGCTACTGTTTGCTGAAAGGCCTCAACTCTACCCAGAACCTAGCCTCATCACAGCATCTCCAAACTCGAGGAAAAATCCATCTCCCTCTTTTGTGATACTCAAAGCAGATCTCCCTCCCATTGAACTAACCTGGGAGGAGGATATCAAAATCCTAGGTAAAGCAGAGCATTTTTCTGCCTGTAAGAACAAACTGACTTAAGAAACCAACCAAGCCACAGGACCACAAGCAGACCAGAGACTCCAACAAGAGGCTGGTTA